TCAAAAAAATTTTGAATTGTTTGCTTCAACTGTTTGTTTTATTGGATGTGGCAATACGAATTAATACCAGAGTGTCAGAATTAATATGGGACTTTTAAGTTATTTGTCGATTATCATTGAGCAGTCAATTAAGCTTTCATAGTATTTCTTTGATTATCCTTGATAGTGTTTATCGTGAATACAATAATTTCTCTACACTATTCTTCCTTTCCCTATATATGAACCTTGCCTTTATTGTAGGCCTTTCTTCTGATATGCCCATTTGTGCCTTATCCGGCCCAGTCAACTTGGCCACTTTCACCAGCTTCTCCACTGGCGAGCAGGATTCAAATTGTCCTATGTCAACTTCATCATGTAGTATCAGTCTCCTAAGTGATGTCAGCGTTGAATTACTTCACTTCATGCTCACCAAGCTGCTCGAGGGACCAGACCATCTGGGAGTCTCTGATCATCTACTGGATCAGTTAGTTTTTAAACTTAAAAAAGGTATTCCCAATCTCATTTAAGCCTTCAGAACGTTTGGGATTTAACTTAATCGTTCAGGTGTAAAGGAAAAAAATATTAATATGCTTATTATAGAAGGCTAGTAAATTGGCTTAGGGCACTCATCCTCCATTCATATTTGCATTGCCTTAGAATGTTAAATTAAAATTATTTTTCTGTTAGAGAAATTTGACTTGTTTCACCAAAATTTGCATATCAAATCGATTTTGAGCTGAATATTCCTTAAGGCTTGTAAAATCAAGGATAATGATATTATTTAGAATCGTATGCATTCTACTTAGTTAGAGATGGCAGTTATCTAAACCAAGGTACTTTGATTGCGACTTTGAAATTTCGGACATCATAATATTCTACTTCTGAAAAGGTAAGTTTTTAACTTAGTACGTTATATTACGGAATCTATACTTGTTGAGGAATATATGACGTTAAATAAATTTATTAGCTCAAAAATATATAATATTTTATTGGGGTTAGATTATCAGCAAATATTATTATCGAAAATGCGTAATTGGTTCAGCCGACTTTTACACGAAACGCTGGGGGATGTCTCGTGGACTGCGTAAACCTGAACGTCGTATTAAAGCCAAACAGCTGTAGTGCCACGGGAATTAGCTATCCTCTTCTGTTAAGATCGACATTATAATCTCTTCATATACTTTCATACGGAATGAAAGTCTTTCCAATAATGTTATCCTAGGAGATTTATTGAAACCCACTTACTCTTCGCATAAACGTGTATTTGCCACTTTATTAAGCAATGTTACTTATTTTCGATATAAATATGTTTCATAACTCGTAGTCCTTATTAATTAAGAATTTTGTTGCCCTAACTTGCTTGAGCTGATTCAAAGACGTCTAGTTGCATTTTTCCTCTATGATATCTGAAGGTCTCTCGAAAGTTATTATCCAGTGCAGACTGCACTTTCGTCTTATTTACATCCCCAACTGGAGTCGATAAGGCTCGTGAGTGTTAGAGTGACGTTATTACTTCAGTGCACAGACAAGTGACAGTGGTTCATAGAGCAGATTTGGCTTTAATGACAAATTTGGTATCTTCCAACTTACATTTACAGTACGATTTTCGATTTATCAAATTTTACTTTTGTCTAAATCGACAACGTTACATTTTCTATGCATTGACATGCTTATAAACGATGAGTAATTCTTTTATAAGAGTATTATTACCTTGGGTCGCTTTGGGTTATTTAAGGACTGTTAGTTAAATTTTCATACAATGAGATGAATAGCTATCTCATCCAGGTTAAACTGCAGTTTTGACCTCTTGGTATCATCAGCAGCTCAACGGGATTCAATTCCAGGTCATGAGTTTCTGGTTGAGGTCATCAATATCTCCGACAAGTTTTCTAAGACACAAAACGGGAAATAGAGATAAAAATAATCCCGAGAATCTTGACACATCATGAACCAATAGACATTAAGTGATTTGTGATGATACACAGGGCACTATAAGTGAATGAACAGTGATAGTGAACAGAAAATAATATACCGAGAAGATGTAATGCATACTACGAGACTGGACCACATATTGTGTAGTAAAGAAGGACGCAACTATGAATCTAAATGGAAGCTTACAGGGCATGCTGAAAGGGGAGATCGATAGATGGACAATAAATTCCCTAATAAAAAAGGATGCACGACCACCATCAGCCTACGGATTACCGAAGCTACACACAGAAGGGGAAACACTAAGGCTGATAGTCAACAACAAGTATAGAGCAACACACAAATTAGCGAGGTTCATATGTTTGAAATTTAAGAAATTAGACGACAGGTTATCGAATACCGTTAGACATTCATATGACTTTTCTCAAAGGATCAAAAAGATAGCTTGGAAGAAACAAAATTATTTTTA